TGTACTTACGAGAACCCATGTAAAGCCATGTACACCCTTATAAAGCCCGTATGCAGCCTTTGTAAAGCCCCAACCAAACCAAAACCACATTCATCAGTACCCGTTTAAAGCCTTGACAAAGCCCGGAAAAAAACCTAGTACACAGCCCTTGGAAATCTGGGGCTCCAAGCATACAAATAGTACCTACTTTGGTGTCTAAAGTCTTTAAATAGTACCTACTTTGGGCTATTTGGAGCCCCAGGGTAAAGCCCCAACCAAACCGTACCAGGTGACCCCGCCCCGCGGTCTGAACTTCGGCCCCGTGGAGAAGGGGGAGACGCAGACCCGCACCTTCACAGCTTCCGGGCCCGGACTTTTCTAATTTACGGTGTAGGCTTGGGGGTTCAGGGCTTTGGGTTTAGTTAGGGGTTTCGGCTTTAGGGTTTATAAGCTTAGGGTTCAGAAGGGTATTTCCAGGCTTTAGGACTTTTAGGGCTGAGGGTGCAGCCTGACTTCACAGCTGTTCAGGGGTTTGCTTTAGGATTTGGGGTGCACATGCCCATGTCTATCTATCCACGACTAGATCCGAATTAGATTTTAGTAACAGACGCAGCGGTCATCAGAAGCTCCTATCTAGATGTCTCGGACCTACCCCCTTCAGCAAAGACCACACAGCGAGTATATCCGTGCCTGCTCTCTGTTCGGCAGCAGTGTAGGAACGCAGTTTACCAGTGCCGTTCTATGTTGTACGCAGGCTTTCCTTCGCACGATTATCTCGCAGTATCTAAAAATCCAGGTTCTGAAGCCGACAGAACTCCCAACTTTGAACCTTTCTCAATCCACAGAACAACCGAAGCGAGGTTTCAACAGAACTTTTAAACCCTAAACCCTAAACCCTAAATAAGGACCTCGAACAGGACGCCCCCAAGCCCCCTATCTTATCAAGGCGATGAGGGTTCTTCTGAGGTATCTCGAAGCTTCGCCGAGTCCCGAACCCTACAAGGCCCCATAAGCCTCAAACACAACAAGGCGAAGCGAAACCGATAATCTAATAAGCCTACAGAAGCTTCAGAAACACCTTCTGGAACCCTCTAAGACCCTATGAAATCCCTTAGAGAGAAGCCGAGATTCGAAACAACGGCATCTTCACCTTCGACTGGTGCCTTTTCGACTGGGCCGATCCGCCGACCTTCGGGGAGGTCCCCGATCCCGAGAGTTCTGTCGTGGGAGGGCTCCTTACCCTAAACCCTAGGGTTTAGGGTTTAGGGTTTAGGGTTTAGGGTTTAGGGTACTCCAAACTGCAAATCGTGAATCCCAAACCCTACGACCTTTAAATCCTTATACTTCCTATATTTAAAAACACTAGTTATACAACCCGTTACAAACTTTTGTAGGGTGATCCTTATAGTGACTCTTATACTGACTCAAACAAGCACTGAAGCCCGGCTTCAGGATGGACGACCAGCTGCAAAGGCTCAAGTGGCCGCAGGGCCCTTTCAGGTTAAGCCCACGCCAGGGCCCCGGATTTAGGGGTCGTTGCACAAGGGCTGCAGTACATGGGCTTGAGTGTTGAAAGACTATTCTCTTATCGTCCCTATGTTTCTTCACTGCAACATACCCCAGACCCCATAGCCCTACAAACCCCACCGCAAAATCGTCCATAAACTTTGTTGAGGCGTTGACCTCAAGCCTTCGCCCTTACAAAGCCTGAGGAGGCCCCCAAAGGCTCTGGGGTCCTGGAAATGATTCTCGAAGCCCTAAACCCGAAACACTAAACCTTAAACCCGAAACCCGAAGCCCTAAACCCGAAACACTAAACCTTAAACCCGAAACCGAA